TTACTTATTTATTTATTTATTTTTTTTTAAATAAAAACTTTGATTTTATTTTTAAATTAATTAATGTTTATCGTCCAATAAATCATTGCATGTGACCCGCGAGATATTAGATATGTAATAGCAATCTATAAAATTCAAATATATTTTAAATTTAATTCTAAAGTATAAGGCCTAAGAATTAAGGCTCCAGCCTACAAAACGTCGCCGTTTTTCTAGTCATTAATAAGATCTAATTTAGTAATAGTAAAGGCCTGATCCGATAAATGATATTCAGTACTTGCATATCAAAATCAATTTTTATCGACTCTAAATCGACATAAGTTGCAATGAAATTCTAAATTAAGAGAATTCAATTTCTCTTAGTTTGTATGTAGATTTAAATTTAAAAATTAAATAAAAAATCGATTCTAAATTCTGTTTTTTATTATATATTTATAATATCATTAGTCACATGGTTGGCTAATTCTAGATCCGTCATCCATTTATTTAATCGTTCACTTATTGTGGGGTATCAAACTTTTAAAAGAATTTGAATTGTTCGAATTTGATTATCTCGACTTTAAAAGATCAATATAACCAAGGATAGGAATCTTAGTCGACTAATTGACTAAATTTTTTTGTAATCAGTCGATCGACTAGTTGACTAATCGACTAGTCGATTAGTCTATAATCGATTAGTCAACTAGTTGAATAATCGATTAGTCGATTTTTAGTCAGTCGATGACTAACAGTTTTAGTCGACTGACTAATCGACTAAAAACTTCTGACCGATTCCAATCCCTAAATATAACACAGGCTTTTTGTTTAGTAGTAAACAGTTTCAAGATTTTAGTCTAACGTATTTACGATGCCTATCTACTTTAAAAGGCAATAACGATAACAAAACTTTTTATGAAAGTCTAGTTTTAGATGCAAAATTGTAGAATTTCTCTGTATTTCAATAGATATTTAAGATCACACAAGTTTTATTTTTAAATTAGTCTTATCTAGAAAAATTTTAAATTTAAGTTATTCTGACTTGAACTATCATATATGAGTGCTGTCAAGGAAAATGAACTTCGGATTTTCAAGTTTATCTTATTATTTATTGGATTTGGCCTAGTGTTGGGTCGGTCCGGTCCGGTCCGTCTCGGTCCTAATAAGACCGGTCCCAACAATATCTATGGTTCAGTTCGGTCCGTTCCCGGTCTCAAAATAAGCTATTATCATCAAAATAAAATACATGCAATAATGGTTTTTAACTATTTTTTATTTATAGCCTTTTTTTTAACTATTTAAAAGCTTATTTTAATATATAGTTTATTTTTTAACCGGTCTGAACTGGCTAAAAGAACGAAAACCGAGGACCATATAGCCGGTTAAAAAGATCGGTCCTCAATTGGTCTTCTTAGGACCGATCCAACCCTATTAAAAACATAATAAAATTAAATCAGAGAATCATTTTATTTTTCCGATTTATAATTCAACATTAGAGATGGGCAGGTAATTACTTATTATAAAAGTTAAATAACGAAACGTGACAATTTAGCATATTATTAGTTGTAAGTATATATTATTAGTAAATCATCGCCGGTGTATGATTACTTTTACGTAATGTAATTAATTACCTTGCACATCTCTATTCAACATGAGTGCTGCCAAGGCAAAACCTGTAAGCAAATATTTGAGGTATCAATCAGGCGAGTTTAATCCTGGGAAAATTGTGATATTACGTATTAAATCATTGTATACCAATACAATTTGTGTATGATGATTTAATACGTAATATACAATTTTCCTAGGATCAAACTCGCCTTATTGATACCTCAAATATTTACTTACAGGTTTTGCCTTGGCAGCACTCACAGAAATTCGTCACTTATTTGTTATTTTTGAAGCCCTCCAATATAGTATAGCGATAGAGTATATATCACTAATCAGATTTTGAATGTTAAATATAATAAATATGCATTATTGGGCAATTGTCGAATAATGGTAATTTGGCAAATGAGGACGTGCCGCAAAGCGGCACGTGTAGCCAATCATTTATCAAATTGCCGTATTCGACAATTTATGATCATGATTTGTAGGGAGTCGCTCGCTGAGTTTTTTTTTTTGAATACTGGAATAAAACATAATTACATCAACACATGAAAAAAAAGTTTGCCGGATAACATGATTTTCAAGGCAAAGACTTCATATAGTATGATCATCATCATTTACGACGTATAAAGTAGGGCTCTGCAAGTGCTGGGCACGGACTATCATATGAAATGATGCCTGGGCACATGTCTGGCACTATTAAACATAGTACCCGTGCCTGGCACCTGCAAAGTCTCTAAATGCAATGCGACGGGGCCATATGTAAAAATTAGCCAAATGTGCATTTAAAGAGGTATTGTATTTAGGGAGATAAAAATCTATAGACGTAGTATTACAGTATTTGGGCCCAAGAGAAGACTTGCATTTAGAGAGGCTTTTCATAGGATGTGCACTTCTGAATATATTCAGAAAAGATATAAGTTTAAATTTATTACTATAATCCCGAATTATAATTCCGGAAAATGATCATTTAACGTTAACGTTAGTTGTGCCTCATAGTTTAGGCTAAATGATGTTGATTGTTAGCCTAAAACTTCCGAAAGTGGTATAAAGCAAGTTGTTAATCAGCTACGTAGACACCGTTAAACCATTAATTTTAAACTTTTTAGTATATATATAATTTCAAATCATTATTAATTAAAAAAATATATTATTATTAATTAAATAAAAAACATTTAATTGAACTTTAAATCTTAAATACAAATCAGCACATAAATTATAATGCATCGAATATTCAAGAATTTATCTACGGTTTATTTTTTGACTGGTTATAACTAGTTTATAAGTTAAATGGCCCAATGTTGTGCATATACCAGTATACGTACTGTCAAATGATTGTAGTTCACCCCTTTTAACAAAGAAAGTTCTCGTATCACACATTTCCGAATCGCATAATACGTATACATTAGCAAATGCATGTATCTTTCTAAAGAAACTCTTATTATCAAAATAGCGTCAGCCAATTCCAAAATTGGTAAAAATCTCGAAAATGGAAAATTACACGTGACTTGCGTGAATTAACTTTTTTTAGTTATGTCCCATTCAAACGTCATTTGCTACGTATTGAAAAAGTGTGTACGATGATCATTTTAAAATAGAAAGATTTATTCGTTAAAATATTTTACCGTATACGAAAATAGAGTTGTGTCACAAATTAATTTGTGACTATATACAGTCATCCCCCTCTACAGTCACCCCCTCTATAATCACATCATATAAAAACCCCTCTTTATCACATTCTATACTCAAAAACAAATTACTATTAAATATATAAAAAACTACCTTTATATAAGCACAACCTCTTTATAAGCACATTTTTTAAAAAAGTTATTAGTAAACAAAACGTGTGATTATAGAGGTGGTTGACTGTAGGTAGAAATTTAATTCCCATTAAAACATCGGCCATAATATTCCACCAAACAGTCAATAAAAACCATTTAATATATAGATACTATATAATAATGAATGGATAAACGGAATTACATAGATATAGTAATTTAACAATTAATACGTAGCATTACGACCTTTCTATTTCTGTATCCGTATACGAAAAAAAATTGGAGAACTCTTACTAATTTAGAAATGACTCCTACTTCTAGAAAAGTGTCAAATGTCACTCGGTGATCATTCTCCTGCATTCGCTGCATCACTGCATGTAAAAGAAATTCTATCGTTTCTCTGACACTTGATAGCTTGACAGGCTATGCAATTGTTTTTGCTATAAAGAATTTTTACATTCAGAATAGTAACTTGACCTAACTATTCTTTTAATTTTAAGTAAAAAATTCATGTATATTCATTATATAAAGAAAATAAAATACCTACCTACCTACGTACTGTACATACTTAATTCCCTTTATTGCTATAACAGTGTATATAGTACTTAATATGTAACAAATAATGTTTACGGTTCAGATGATATTACTTCCATCTAGAATAATCTAAAAGCGTATCGGCTAATAAGAAACATTACACAGCTGATCAAAAAATTGGATTGGTTACTATTTTTAACTAGCCAATCTTTGTATAACATTTTCCAAATTTTCCAATTAGATCATATGATATACCATTGACCTTGACGTTATTTTAAACATTACATACAATCAATGACAATAATGGCAATCTGGGTGTGACAAATGATGTAAGTTTGGCAAATACAGAAATAAGTAGAGCCGGGTAGTAATTTTATATATCTCTAAAAGAACATCACTTCCTTATTTGGATATCGGTAAAAGTATAAATACTGCAGCACCACACCATTTCTTATTTTTCATCAAACAATAAAAAAATAAATTATATCAACGAAAAAAGATATAAATATAAATTCTTAAATTACCAGTTTAAAAAAAAAAATTTTTTTTTCAAAAAAATGACTAAAGTCAAAAGAACTCCTACTCGAAGAATGACTGTACCTGGTGGTGAAAATGTTGATAGAAAACCCCTCACCGTTTTCAATCGTTCATCTACATTTCCTTACTCTCGCCCTCAATCCAATAACAATCAGAATAAAACAAATGTTACAAGCAATAATGATCATCATTGCTCTAAATGCACAAAAAGCGGCGATGATGATGTTAATTGCTTAAGTGCTAGAATAAATCGACTAGAAAAATTAATCCGAGATCTTAATATAGCCGTTAGTCCTAGTCCTAAGTCTAATAATTCTTCTAATTCGGCTCCTTCTGCTAATTCTTCACTTATTTGCTATAATACTATTGATTTTTCAAAGATGGAAACCAATGAATTGGTCTCGTTTTCTACACAATTGGGAACTCTATTATTTGGTAATCGCAATTCTAATAATCATAAATCAAACGTTATGAGCATTAGTAATATCCTTGCTCATTAAACCACACCGAGAAAACTTCTTTGAAAGTATTAGAAAAATAGCAAAATTTCGAATCGCCTTTTAAATACGCCGACGCTTAAAAAAAAAAAAAATCGACGCCCCCAAAAAAAATCGACTTCTAAAAAAAAAAAATCTTCAAAAAAAAATCGACGCCTATAAAAAAAAAATTCGAAGCCTATAAAAAAAACCAACTATAAATAATTCTTTAAAAACTAAAAATCTCATTTCCATCTGAACCTGCACAACATAATTATGCTGATAATTATATACCAATTACTAAATTAAGAGGACACTTATATGCAGAATTTAATCGACATAAATATACAGTATAATAATGTTTAAATTGATTCGCGATTGGAAACTAAATCTTTTTATAAGAACATTATGCATATGTGGATTTCTTTTCTGATCTTTTTCGCACTCTATCCACTCACCTACACCCACTTTATAGATTATTTATTTAAAAAAAAATAATAATAATAGAACTCAAAATAGTTGTAAATGTATTGTAAATTTAATAAAATTTAAAATTTTTTTTCCAAATTTAAATTCTGGCAAATCTTAGGATGTTTGTGCGTTAACAAATTCTGAATTATGATTGGTTGTTTATAATGCTACACATTTCTGTTAAGCACCCGGGATTTTATTCAAGAGTTCCATTTTTAAAATTGATAATACCCATGGATATAGTGTGAAAAAACCGGGTATTATATTTTTGGGGAATATCGAAATAAAAGTTGTATAATATATGTTGCACTATATACAATTATAGGACTTTTCAATATAACTTTTTATGAACGACATGCGATAAATTTACAAATTTTATCCATAGCATCGAAGCATCGAAAATCGCCTGTTGTATATCATATAAATCGATGGCATCTCTGGGCGCAGAAGTTGAGAAAGAACCTAAAGAGGAGGGAGGGGAGAAGCACACCGCAATCACATTCAATTCCGTTTGGGGCTGAGCAAAATATTATAAAATTTTTTTTGTGCAACATCAATGTAGATCCTTATCGATATTGCGAATATTGTATTTTAAAACAATTACATTAATAGTTTATTAAAAATATTTGAAGCAATGTCAGACCCGAATTGTAATTGTATTTCTTGAAGCGGCATTTTCTTCTTATTAATATTTCTCTTCGCCCTTATTTCATTTAATTCATTCGAAT